TGCACAGAGCTGGGTCTGTCTCAGGCATCCCACCACCCCCCTTTCCCTCCAGCTGTGCCCCCCACAAGAAAGGGGCCAGACACGGGAGGGAATTTATATATAATATATATATTTACTCTTTAAAAATAAACCTTCAGTCCCCACTACCGCCTGTACAAACTACAAAAATAAACCTTTGCTCTCTTTGATATAAATAACTTAGATGGCGTGTTGGGGGAGAGGAGGGAGGGGGCTGCCCACCGTGCCCACGCCTGGCACGGGGACAGGGTCCCCGGGGCCACCCCAGCTCAGCGGCAACGCCTGGGAGCCGGGGAGGGGGGGCCGGGGCCACAGGCACAGCAAACACCGCTGGAGTTAAAGTGCTGGGTAAAGGCGTGGACAGTGCCTGGGATGGGGACGGGCTGGCCCCGCGGACAGCCTTGTTGCACGGGGATATGGGGAGAAATTTGCTTTCCCAGCGAGATATGCCCGGTGGCACCGCGGGCACCCACGTCAGCATCACCAGGGCAAGTGCTGTCACCAGGGCAGAGCATGAGAGTTACACAATGGGCTGTGACCATGGGACAGCTCAGGGTCTTAGCACAGCAAGGACCAGCCCAAGGACTGTCCCCCCGAAAACCCTGCCTGTGCAGTAGGAGCAACAGGCTCCCTGACTCTGCTGCATGTCCCTTATCTCCAGCCCTCCCGTGCTCGCCGGTGGGGAAACTGAAGCACAGATCAGCATGTCAAAAGAGTTGTGAGCTGCCTGTGGCCACCCAGCACCCCGTGGAGCAGGGGCATGAATCAGATCTGTGCTCCCCACCCCGGGCTTCCGCTGCCACCAGCAGGTAGCCCTGCACCGGCAAAGGGTCTGCCCCCTCCTTGCCTGCACCCTGGGCAGCCAGGGAGGCCATAGGCTGAGAAATAAATCTTTTAAAATAAGCTTAAAAATATATATCTCTCTATAGATAGTTTCCCTTTGCAATAAATAAAGGTGGGGGGTGCCAACCCCAGGCCATGGCTGGCTCTGGGGCTGCCGCCTTAACAGGGTTGAGGGGCACCAAAGCAACCTGTTGGGGCACCCCAGCTTGTGGCCCGGGTAGGGGGTCCCAGGAGGAGGTGACAGGGAGCAGGCAGTGACCCCACAGGGGGGTGAAGCTGGCAAGGTGCCAAGCCTGGCTTGCCAGCAGCTCCAGAAACAGAGTAAGGGGTTAGTGCTTCCATTTCTGGGGGGCAGGGGCAGGGCAGGCAACAAGCCCAGGCCAGGATAACCCCAAGCCCTGGATGTGGGGGGGATATGGCACCACTGGCACAGCCCCAGGTGGGGAACATGCTGGCACAGCGTGGCCTGCACACAGCTTGCATAGAAGTGCCAGCCTGCCCTGCCAAGTCCCTTTGTGGGGGGCCTGGGGGCCTGGTTCTCCTCGGCTGAGACCGGGGGGCATCGCCACTCCGGCGATTAGCAGCACGACACGGGTGATCCCGCTCTGCACCCTCCTGTGCCTGCTGGGTGCTGGGGAGATGCTCTGCCCACGAGCTGGCAACCTGCAGGGAGAGAGAACGGGTGTCAGCTGGGTCCCTCCAAAGCCACCCTGTGCCCCCATGTTGCATGCCCCAGGGTAGGGCGCCTGTGTCCCCAAGCTCACCTAGCACCGAGCACCTGCCCCACGGTGTCCCATGCTCTGCATCTCAAAGGCATTGGGCATGGTGGTGCCACCAGCACTGGGCTCCTCCAGGCAGTCCTGCTCCTCACTGGCGAAGCCCTCAGGGCTGAAGTTGGGGTAGGAGCCAGGCAGTGTGGGGTGCAGGGCCACTGTCACTGAAGCAGTGGCTGGGACAGCGGTGGAGCTGCCGACGGGGCCCCGC